CACCATCTCCTCGCCTATGTGTTTTGTGAAATTATACAAATTTTCTATTTATATTACCCCATTTCACAATGAGCTGCACTACAATCCCCAGCATGCACTGCAACGTATTTGTGTGTGTGTGTGTATATATATATATATATATATATATATATATATATATATATTGTTTATTTGATTTATTTGTCCACTAGAAGTGCTTATATTTTGCTGTTGGTATTTTGGCATAATTTGAAAAAAACAATGTTACTTAAAAATGTTATTTAAAATTCATATAAAAACATTGACCTTTTTTTGCTCAGTGGACTTTTTAATATGATTTTTTAATATGGCCATTTTAGTGGTTGAGTTTGACATCCATGATCTAGAACAGTCTCATCTATGTTAGGTACAATAAACGTGGAATTCATGTAGGATGTCACATAACCCAATGTTTAAAATTTCACTTATGTTTACATGTAAGAAAACAGCTCTCTTATTGTGGTTTGCCCAAAGTAAATCAATAATTAGTGTCAATTTAGTATCATTGGGAGTTGTAACTGGATTAATTAATTAATTAATTGATTAATTGTAACTGGATTAATCACCAATGTGCACAGGCCTACTAAATTGTCTCCAAATATGATAGAATTTTTCACTCGTATTATGTGTCACATCTGCTAAACTCGTCTATCGTCTAGAATCCTGAGTTCTGCACTTGTAAATACTTCATCAGCTGTACAAACTGAGAGCTGTATTTCTCAATTTCAAACACCACTCGATTGCAGATTAATTTGTCGATATAACTCGGTGTACGTGCACACGTTAGGGTTACACAATATATAACTTGTTAACCATTATTGCAATGTAAGTCTTTGCACTAGTGATACTGCAGTATGCCAATGAGTTGTCTAACCAAGTATATAAGCATATAAGGTGAAAGACTTCCAGTGCTGTGAAAAAGTATTCACCTCCTTCTGATTCCATCTACTCTAGCATATTTTTCACATTTAATTGTTTAAGATAAATTTGGCGACTTGCTATAATTGTTGGAAATCTGAACTCTAAACAGGAAAACCTGTTGCAAAACTCCCCCCAAAAAAGCCCAGTTGGGTTATGCAGAAACATAATCTTGCTGCACAAGAACGTGAGCATCTGAATAGCTCAAAAGAAACAAAGTTAAGGTTTTGGAATGGCCTAGTCAAAGCTCTGCCTTGAACCGCATTGGGGCGCTGTGGTTGGACCTTAAATGAGCAGTTTATGCTTAAAAGCCCTCCAAAATGGATGAATTACAGCAGTTCTGCAATGAACAGTGGGCCAGAATTTCTCCACAGTTTTAGAGGGGCAAATACTTTTTCACATAGATGATGTATTTGTTGAAAAACTTTTTTCCTTCAATAAATGAAACGATGATTTCAGAACTGTTTCATATTAATTCATGTTCTTTCTTGTATGAAGATTTGAAACCGTTTGCTGTGACAAATATGCAAAAACAGAGGGAATCAGGAGGGGAGCAAATACTTTTCACGACACTATAGTAATTAAGCATGACCAAACTTCATGTTATTGTGCGCAATGACAAACCTACTTGCATCTTATAGATCAGGAAATGGTATACTTTATTCATGTGGAAATATGTACACATTCGACTTGAATAAATTCTAAGCATTTTTTTCACACTAAAATCTATTTTCTGTTCATTAACTAATAACCAGATGTGAATTTAATGGTAATGCTGAGAACAGACGTTGACCAACATCTGAGAGCTGACGTGGTTCACAGATTAAAAGGAACTCTATTTTGCTTAGCATCTAATATTGCCATAAACAACTTCTTTGTGATTTAATCACACTACTCTTATTCCTCCTGCTCTCTATCTCTATCTTACCATGAGAACGACCCAGCGTTACCTCCACACCAACTGCTCGTACAACCTCTCTGGCCAACAATAGCCCATCCTCCAAAAATAAACCTGACAACTTTCTGGCACACAGTCGTGCCAAGCACCAGGGCCAGCAGAGCAAACTCGATTGAGCCACATGTAATTTTCTCAATATTGGACTAGACGCTCTTGCAGTAAAGCTCGTCTCCAAACCTCTGACTTATCAGCAAGTGTAATCCGCTGCCAAATCAACTGTGCCATCAGGAAAACCTAGATATCAAAAATGTCCAAGGTGATCTTCACCTAAGTCATCTGCCAATCTCTACAACAGGAGATTTACATTCCTACAAAGTTCAGTTCCAACTCTTACTTAAACAACCCACCTCTAATGTTCAAATGTTGACTTTCTTGATTAGGTGGATCAAGTGTGTTATATTAGGCATGGATCTCAACTCTGCAGGGTGAGTAGATTAATAGCGCACCCCTGATATTTTACATTACTGTTGTAACTGTTTTTCCCTTGCAAGAATTGTAATGTGTGTATTTACCACATGTAGTATGTTCTCCGCACATCTACATGCTTATTTGAAGTTTTCATGGGGGACTTTTCAGCCATGCTAACCTACATTACATCCATGGGCTAACGACGGGCTTGGTGTCCATTGGACACCACCATTGCCCTCTACTTTCAGCTCTGCTGTCATAAGGTTTAGGATTGGTTTAGAAATTTCTAGCTAGTTGTCTTAAGCAAATGTAATGTGGAATCTACTACAAACAGTCAATATGGGCACATACATCTAAGTTTTGGGGGACCTTTCAGCCATGCTAACTTACCTTATGCCCATGGGTTAGCAAAAGGCTTTGTCTGTCGGACAATGTTGACTATCGCACCATCACTACTTACTTATAGGGCTCCACCTTCACAACCCTAATATGTCTACATTACCCACATTTACCCCAAACCTTCTCACTGATGTCCCCAGACGTTCTTGTTACAAGATCATGTCTGGAACCGCTAGACTAAACTAGGTGAAGCTAGCTGATTAGCAGAGGCCTGTGTTTGGCCTGGAGGGTGGAAGATGGTCCAGCTACCAGGCTGTCCAGCAGATGGTCATTAAGATGAAGTGCATCCTCATCTACTCGCCCTAACCCTCTCATCTCCATGGCGGACACATGTGCTTGTGATTGAAAGCTGCATAAATCAGCACAGTTGGCCGCAGCACCCAGCCGTGTGGCTCTCTCACACTCTCTCTGTCTAACTCTCCTAACGCACCGTGACTCAGCACATTCAGCATGAACAACATACATTGAACTGATGTGGTAAATATATGTGCATTATTTAATGATTACATTGTTAAATCACTATTGTCATTAAATTGTCCTTACATTTTTTATATAAAAGTTTGATGTAGTATGTAAACACTGTTAAAGTTTCAAATCATACGGCTCATTCCTCAGTTCTTATATGGAAACTAAACAGCTTATTTTGAATGAATTTTTCTTGTGATTTCACAAAAACTAAAGCAATTGCATACCGACTTATTCACCCACAGCAATTTAGCCCCACCCATTCCTGCTGAGTGTCTCAGACTACTTTTTGAATGAGCCACAAAACAGGGCAATAAATCAGAACAGAGCTCCTTTACATAAATCAACCTTAGCACAGCAATAAAAACAGAGATAAAGAAAGGTTGGAAAATGTACAAAAGAATGGTGACTGTTTTGGAACATAAACCCACACAAATGTCATAATTGCACATCAGGTAAAAAAAAATACGAGAAATATAGGCCCTTCAAGACTTTATTAACCATCCTGTTATTATGAAGTTTACTAGCATGTTTATCCTTGGGACCCCAGCAATCTAAAGCTACAGGAAAGATCAATGTTCTGGTGGGAATTATGATTCCCCTCCCCCATAGTGTGTGAACTTTCAGTGGTTCTTGCACTACTACAGGTGTAGTTATATTAGGTTATGGTCCTAAACCAGACGGAAGTTTTTTGAAGATTATAAAATTGCATGCAGTAGTGACAGTAATATCATCTAAAACAAGTGTGTTTAAAATGTTATATTTCTTATGTTTTATACAGCTAAAACAGCCTGGGGTCAAATTGACCCGAAAGAATGTTGGCGCATACAAAATGTGGACAGCTCATTGAAATCCCCATTAAATTAGAAAAAGTCGTTAAAATTGAAGCAAAAATTAACATCAATCATTTATTTAGAGACGTTAAACATTGAATGGGGTCAAATTGACCCCAAAGATGTAAGAATACTGCATAGAGAGTGAAGCATAAACCCCTAATAAAGCATTCTCTATGAATCTCCAGGTTCCTGGACATGGATTTAGCCCAGTCATGGACTGAATTGCAATATCAATGTTGATTCAGCACTGAAAATCATTTCTAGTTCAGATTTAAGGTTGATCTTAAGTACTATTTGGATGGGATTAGTTTTATATGGGGAGGTGGAGTAATGTAATTTTACCACAGGACGTCTGTAATGTTTATAAATCAGGTTGTACAGTTCATTCTATTGCATAGGATTACTACAATCTGGGGTTATTTTATAGTTCATTTAACTAATAATTAAAACAAACCATAATGATAATTACATTACCCACCTCCCCATGTTAAAACTCTTTCGATTAGTTCTGCAGTCCGGAAATGAGTTACTGGGGATCGTGGCTCACTGATAATTCTCTTTAGTGTGCAATGTTTGTGACTAAGGCTGACTTGAATGCATAAAGGGGCTTCACTCAGAATACCTATAATCAACTATGTGACATTTAATTTAGATTGATTTAAGTTCCTAAAAGAACACTTGACCAAAACCTCAAATTTATAATTTACAACTTCCCCCATACCCCAAAAGTTTGCATCTTTAGTTTTGCACTGAGACTAATATAGCAGATAGTCTTTTAGGTGATATAGACTTGCATTACTTGTAAGCAACATTAGCCTTGTAGCTACAGTGTAAATGTAAAGAAGCAAACTTCAGACATCAAACACTACTTGGTCGATCGATTACATTTTGAATAGGGAGAAAATTGTGTAAATTTGATTGGTGAACCATTTCTTTAAGAGTGACTGATATTCACTTGGATTAATATTTATTTTACGGTGAAATAAGAAGCTGCTTCTCAAACTTCATAAAAGTTCTCTTTTCCATTTTATTTGTAAATGCATCTCATGAAGAACAGGAAAATATATTTATATTTATATATATATATATATAATACAATATACATATTGAATTGCTTTTATGTACATTATGTTTACAATTTTACTGGGGAAATGTACAGAATCACATCTGACCCTTTTCTGGTGAAACTCCATTTACATACATTCATTGATGGCCATAAATGAAATCATTGTCATACTGATCGGAAGGAATGCACCACTATCAGTACACTACCTCAGGTTCGCCGTCTGTCAGGCACAAAGAGAAAGTAACTGTGAGACACCTGATGAACGTAACAATAAGTGTGGTTCAGAGAGACATTCAGCATGCCTGACCTAATTATCTATAATTTTACAGGCATTATGTCTTCATAAACCCTGATGTGCACACTTAAGGGAATTCTAAACAATAAACCACATGTGCTTGGCCTGTGGTAAGATAATAGCAACCACATCAACACAATTCATAGTGTTTGCTAATCAGCTAGCATTCAGTATCTGAACTATACTAGTGCTAGCGTAACAAATTAGCATGTAAGAGGCCATTCAAAGACTGGATCCCCTCTTTGGGCCTTCCTTTGCTGTCTGCATGACAAGTGCAAGAGGTTTCTGCCCATAACAGCTGCATAGGATCAGCATAGCTGACTGTAAATACTGTTTATTCTGGATAGGCTATGTGCTTCTAGCACATTAGCAGCACTATCAGTTATCTGTTATCAGTTTCTTAGGCTCATTCTATCTAGAAATACAGGTGGTTCGGCCGTTATCTGCTCCTTTCATGAGTATTGACCAGACAGTTGAATATAAACTGCCCGTCAAAAGTTTGGGGACATATTTCTATGCCTTACCATCCTGTGTAAAGTTTTGTTGCCATAAAACAGCTATGAACTTGCTATCAGAGTCTCTTCCTTGGTATGAAGAGCAGGCTTAGCTGTTGTTAAAAGCAAATATTGAAAGTCTTTTGGCCCAAAGGGGGTTTTAACATCTGAAAGGTTTGAGTTCTGGCAGGGGAATAAAAAGCGTGGGCATTGGCATTATTCCCAAGCTTGCATCACAAATATTTACACTTTTGATGGGCAGTATCATAATCTTTCGTGTATGTAAGCCCTCTCCTGCCAAATAGAGGAGAAAAAACCGTGTCTCTTTCTTTGTGTCTGGCAGCAGTATGTAAAAAATTTGACATAGTGTCTTGAAATAATGACTTATTTTCCCCAAATAATGACAAATTTTCTTTGAAATGTAATAACTCATTGTTTTAAAACAGTATGTTGAACTTTCAATAAAGCAAAATTTTCAATATTTCTACAGAGTAAATAAAATATTTGAGAAAATTAAGTCATAAAGTCAAAAATTAAAGGAAGTCATTAATTTAAAATTGTGAGAAATTTGAGAAAACAAGTCATTATTTCAATAAAGTAAGTCAAAATATGTATAAAATAAGTCAGCATTTTGAGATGCCAAGTCAAAATTTTGATATACTTCTGCCAAAAACGAAAAGGAGAAAGAAAAAACGGGTAATTATTTGGACTTCCATTGTCATTAAGTTACTACCGGCAACCTCTAGCACACAAATACCTATTGACTGCTGAACTCTTAATCAAACTAAATTGTGGTTCTGATGTGTCTCTTTCGTTCTCAGGCTTTATTTTGGCAAACAGGCTGCATTTCCAAAGGCAGCTGTGAAATTCTCCCCAAAACGCTTCATCAAGCTGCAGAAGTAATGCTGCAGAAAACATCGATTTGCTCAAAACAAAACGCTCTCGTGTCAGCAGCATTCGCTGGCCGTTTCACACATTCCTCAAGTGTAGATATGGTCAGCGTATCATATCGTTAGTCCAGCTGTGACCATGAGCAGAGTTCCCATTGTGAATGTCCAGCTTGAACTCCAGGTGTTTCCCAGTCTACATTTCCCAAAGGTGAAGAGTTTGTCCAGAAGAACCAGTCCTCATGGAGCAGGCTATGGTTGAGGTTAAACAGATTAGCACCTTATATTTCCACTTCCTGTTGTCCAGATTTGCCACTATGACACATTATGGCACAACAGTGAAAGTCTGATATCTGAGATGAACCCAAGGTCAGAGATGAAGCGCTCCAGCCTGATCTTGTGTATGCGTGAGTGTGGATAGGCATTGTTGTCCCAGGGAAGGTGAATACCTCCAAGTGCAAGGCTGCTCAGACGGTTATATAAGAACACCATGACATAATGCATAGACATTCCATACAGAAAGGATAATCTTATTAACCGACACTGATTATTTTCTCCATTCTGAACAACAAACAAACAGTTCTATTCCTGTTGTAATGCATTTTACAACCATAAGTGCCTGAACTTATATCTTGGCCCCAAAACAATAAGTCCAACATAAAGGCTCAACAGATACATCACATTTTTTGATACTTGAATAGCTTCGTTTTCAGGAGAAAGAGCCGAACAGGAAGACAAAAAGAAGAAAGTACAGAAATTAAACGATTGTGATAAAACAGACTAAGGTTTTTTAAAATATGAAAAATAAAACTTCTTCAATACTGATCAGAAGGCCAGCTGGTTCACATATTAGCCAACAGACAACGATGACTGTGCGTGTTTGACTTTTGCTGCATTTAATTCCATTGATTTTTCTGCATTTCTGCATAATTAAACATTTGAGGCTGTAAACAAAGTCTTTCAGAGTGGGTTGATGCATCGTAGAGAAACTTACCAGGGGTCAAAATGTCTACAATGAAAAAAAAAAAACAGTGAACCTAAATGTGTCTTTAGAGTTTGTATCTGTAATGCTGATAACGGTAAAATAGGGTTGAATCTTAACTGTTTAGTTATGAATATTTAGAGAAACTATTTTTAAAAAATGCAAGACTAAGTCAAAATTTACACAAAGAAGTCATTATCTCAACATAGTGAAAATTTTGAGAAAACGTTATTATTTTGTAATAAGCCAATATTTTGAGAAAAAAGTCACTATTTTGAGATACTAAAAGTCAAAGATTTATTACTTCGACATAAGTCAAAATTTTGACAAACAGAAAAGAGAAAAAAGTTGTGCATGAAACCACTCTAAATGACTTTGCTTACATCATTTAATCTTGCATTTTTTGAGACATTATTTTTAAAAATGATTAATTATTCAAGATGCTATGTCAAATTTTTGAGAACATAAGTCATAATTTAGAGATAATGAGGTCAAAATTTCAAAAGAAGAAAATGGGCTCATTCACGAAACGTTCTTAAGAAGAAATCTCTTCTTAAATCCCACTTAAGTTTTCACAAAGACATTCACCAGTGTTTCTTATTTGGGATTTGTTCTTAGGTAAGAACAGAATCTACACACACTCAAGGGTACAAAAGTGTGAACAATTCTGCGGTTTAAGAACACGTCATGAATCTGACGTAGACTTTTTCTGAGGACCTTTCTCAAGAACAAATTTAAGAAAAATGTAGGAAGATATTGGCAAATGAGACCCAATTAATATTGGCAAATGAGACCCAAATTAATTTCAATATAGTAAGTAAAAAGTTTGAGATAATAAGACCAAAATGTTGACATATTTCAGCCAGAAACAGAAAAGGACAGAAAAAACAGGTCATTTTGGCTCCTGTCACCACCACTGTGAACAATTATGACTCAGTAAGTTTCTCTAGAACAGAGCACTTCACACCAAACCACACTGAATGACTTTGTTTACATCGTAACAATTTAATTACGCAGAAATGTTGAAAAATCAGTGGAATTCCTCTTAAACTCTGAGGACTATAATGAATTTTCCGAACCCGTTTGATCACAGAGTTGAAGCTTATCACAGTTTTACGAGCAGTAAAAGGTGGGTGAATTAGCTCCATGTTTGCTAATAGCTTATAAACGACACAGTCCTGACTATGATCAGTAGTTCAAACCAACCCAGGTTTTCTTTTTGGTTTTGCAGAACTACACAATAACTCACCTTGGCAAAAGAAGAGGCATAATGATAATGGTAATAGATAAGGAATGTTGATGCTTTTAGAGATAGGCAGAGACATCAACAACAGTTCATACCTCACGAGTAGAAAAAATACTTTGCATAAAACATAATGCAACTCTTTGTTCATAAAAAGAGAATAGAAAACTAGCATGGAACCCCCTACAAAAATACAATCTAAGAGAAGCTTAGGACATCATTGAAGATGTTGTGTCAAGTAACAGTTTTGTACGCTCTTCTTCAGTTCCTCTCAGCTTTAACCAATAAATTATCACAGTACCACAACTGAGAATTCTCTTCTCATGCTCCTGCACACATACTCTTTCAAGAAGTCACCCAGTTTCCTCCCTTTCTATGGTCTTTTCTCCTTTCCTTTCTTACATGGTCACTCTTACATATTTCCTCACTCATAACTCTGTGTGCTCTCTCTTCCTCTCTCTCTCTCTCTCTCTCTCTCTCTCTCTCTCTCTCCCTCTCTCTCTCTCTCTCTCTCCATGCCCCTGGTGTTGGGGGTTATGCGGGGTCAGTATGAAGAGCGTGCCGTCCTGCTGCTTCTTGGAAAGCGATGGACTTTGATGTGTTTGGACAGGTGATCGCTGCGGGCAAATTTCTTCTCACAGACAGGACACTGGTATGGCTTCACTCCAGAGTGAGAGCGTCTGTGGCGCGACAGCTCGTCCGATCGCGAGAACCTGCCAGGACGACACACACACATACATGGCAATCACTCAGCATGTGCTGTCTCAATTCATTTTTTTTGGGATTCTTTCAATTCAATTTGATTACAAAATCAAATCAGACCATTCAGTGTGAACACTTCAACTAATTTCGGGTTAATGCAATCTGGGTTACAAATCAGCCTTGTTGATTAGCAGTATAAAATACCCATAGGGCCAGATTCAGCCCCAGATTATGCCTAAGCCTAGACTAAAAGGGCTTTTTCAATGGTGAATCACTATTAATATTACTATTTAGACCAAAATTAGGCTTAATCCATGTTTAGAAACCAGCCTTAGGTGTGATTTGTGTATCAATGTCACGTATCCCAATTGACTTCAAAAAAGTAAATATTTCAAGAAAATAAGTTATTTCAACATATTAAGTTAAACATTTTAGATAATAAGTCAAACCTTTGATATACTTCTGCCAGAAATGGAAAAGGAGAATAAAAACAGCCATTTTTTATTCCTATCACCACCACAGTGAACCAGTGAATCTCAATTCAGTGTGAAGACTTCAGCAACCTCATTTCAAAGTAATGCAATCTGGGCTATAAATAAACCTGTAAGGCCAGTTTCCCAGCCCCAGAATAAGCTTAATCCTTGACTAATAGGGTTTTTGTCATTGGTGAATCACTATTAGCATTGATATTTAGCAAAAAACCAAGCTTCATCCGTGTTTAAGAAACCAGCTCAAAGTGTGCTTTGTACATCAATGTAGCATGATCCCTATCAATCTTGGACTATTTCTATTGGTCTCTTCATCATGAAACGTTCACACAATATTAAGGGCAGTGGGTATTTTCTAATAGTGTAAAAATGAATAGAATTATGAGCCTTTAAATGAAAGCAATGAAAAAAGGAAGAACTGAATTAATGTAGTGAAAGTAGACTTTGCAAAAGTGAAAGAAAGAAAATGAAAAAGAATGAAAAACGAAAGTCCTCAAACCGCTGAGGCAAAAGGAATGCTATCTGGCTGTTACTGCAGCCCCTGGATCTGTCATCTGCTCAAAGTGGCATTGGCTGACCGTTCCCTGACACAGAGCACATGCAGTGTCGGTTAAACCTGTCAGGCGCTCGCTGTCTTTGCCAGTGAGCACCAGAGGCTTTCTGCCATAGGCTAGCCTCAAAGCCTCAGTGAATGACCCATTTCTTTAGCACACAGACCTTTAAAACCTTTAAAATGTTAGTGCTGGCTCAGAGGGGCAGTCCAATTTACCTAAGTGAAAATAATAAGCAGCCCAATTCATTCATTTCAGAGGAGCAATACGGCAAAAAATATAACAATATAATACTTCAATACATTTTTCATTTAATTTCAAGCATCATATTTAAGTTTTTTAAAGTTTAAACAGAAAAATCCTCAGTAGAGCCACATTAAAAAAAAATGCTTTTAAAAATAAAGAATACAGTTATTGAACATTTTGCATACTACACTAACATGCAAACATGCAGTTGGTGTTCTTTACATAAAATATGCTAAGAAAGGCATAATGTGACGCAATGCAAAGTGGTGTAATTTATCACAATAATGAAAAACACTGTCATATTCCCCAGTCTTATTCTTATGCTAATTATGTAAGACAAACGATCATTTCACACAGTCATATCTTACACTAGCCTCAGGAATCAAACCTATGAAACAACAAATTGTCACACATAGTGAAATTACAGTCTGAAAAGAATAGGAGTAATTACTAGGGGTGCACATTTATTGCTGTTGGGAATGGGCTTTACACATACAAGAAATGTTACTGCTATACTATGACTAATACCAACTTTATTCGAAAAATAAAAAAATGTGTTATTCTTTTCAAACTTTATTTTATCCAATATTATTACAAATGGATATACTGCATTTTAGAATGAAACTCTTCATACAGTGAGTTGGATGAATGGTGCAGGACCTTCATCCATTGCATCCATTTTCATACATGATCTCCTCATTTTTAGGGGATCAAAAGTAAGTGCTCAGCTGTTCTATGGTCAGGTGTGCATTATTCCCTCATTATTAAAGATCAACTTGTATCCGAAAGATAAGAGGTGAAGAGCATGGTAAAGCATACCCAAAGCATATCTGCCTCAACTGCTAAACATAGTGGAGGTAGTGTTATGGCACAGGCATGTATGCAGATGCAAAAATAACCCAAGACTTTTTTAATGCAAAGAAGTGGATTGTTCTGCAATGGCTACATCAGTCACCTGACCTCAATCTAATTGACTATGTATTTCATTTACTGAAGGCAAAACTGTAGGTAAAAGGCCCTAACAACAAGCAAGAATTAAAGACAGCTGCAGTAAAGGCCTGGCAGAGCAACATCAGTGAAGAAACCCAGTGTCTGGTTATGAATTCAAGGATTCCATATACCAATTACCAATACCAATGTAATTTATGACTTTCAGTTTGTCTAGTTATTTTTTATGTAGTTTTAACCTGCCATACACTCACTGCATATATGAATTATTGTATGAACCTGTTTTAAAGTGGAAATGTAAAATTATAAGTTAATGGTATTGATAATGGCCACAACAAGGTAACAAGGTCATCATTATGGCCCTAGAAATACTATATCAGTGACTCCTTAATAATTTACATACATCAAGCTGAAAGGTGCAAATGATTAGCAAGTTCACACAGTCTTTAAACACTAGTTTCCCTCTGACCTGCGTTTAAGGGGTTGTGTACATTTGGGTTAAAAACAGGAGTGTTGAGTAATGGCAGACTTTCTTCCCCTCTCTCTATAGTTCACTTTAGGTTTCGGGCTGGGTACTATCTCCTGCTGCAAATGTAATGAGAACAAACTACTCTCCTCCTTCTCTTCACCTTTTCTCTCACTATCGCTTTGCCAACAAGCTTAGACAGGAACAGTGCTGTTGCTGATGGCAAACAGGGACACGCCTGCTTGTAGAGCCAACTAACTGCAGGGCAAAAAGCAAAATGTATGAGTCTGAGTGACGCAAATAACCCGGAAGCTTAAATACTTTGAAGGCTTTAAGTGAACAAGCTGGTCTCATTCTCTATAGAAAAGGTGTGGTGTAATGACGGTGGCAACAGTAACCAACCCATATAAAAAGTAATAAGCTGAAAATATATTACAGAAAATGGTCACTTGTATCTCCCTAAAGGTATGTTAAGAGGAGTAGCAAGTGTTTAACTATGCTATGAACCTCATATGTCCAGATCTCAGCATCACTAAATGTATTTGGGTTTACTTGGATCACAACCAACTTCTAGGACTGAACTTTGGATATTGGAAAAATATCCCTACAGATTTCTCTGAAAAACTGAACATAAGTCTGCTGAAAAGAACTGAAGCTGTAATAAAACTAAAGAATGAAGATTTTGATATTATGTTTAGTTGTTGAGGCTGCTGTTTCTGATAAATATGTTTTATACTTTTTTTCTGATGCTGAAAGAGAATAACTTGCACTTAATGGCCACTTTGATTGGAAAGTAATTCAATGAAAGGTGGTCTTTTTTGTGATATATAGTGAATATATTTTCATTGGGGAAAATGTTGCATTTTGAAAAGGAAATTGCTTGTGTGTTTGAGAGTGCTGTGTGTGTGTGTGTGTGTGTGTGTGTGTGTGTGTGTGCGCGTGTGTGCGTGTGTGTGCGCCGGCGGGGTAGACCCCTGGCCTCAGCTGCTTAGCCTTCAAAGTTCACACACTGAGCTATGTTCAGGCAAGCTCTTTAACACCAGCTGTAATCTAATCACTATACTAAGGCTGTGCAACATATCATTTGTTAGCCATTTGCGTGATACTGGCCTTTGCAATACTGATTAAAGGTCTGTACGGATATGAAATTGACCAGGCCCCATGGATACTGCTAAATTTGAAACCGAACCCAAACCTGCTCACACGCACTAACGCTGACAGATTATCTCACACACGGTTTTACAGAGCTTTGCTAAGTGCTTGATTGACTATGCTGGGATAAACTTGTATTTTATACATCTATAATACAGTAACAGGCTTTATTATTGGTATATTTCCATGGAATTGCTGATTGGATCTGACAGAGAGCATAATTTACCCCCCTTTGATCCACTGTGTGCTAAAGGTCCTCTTGTTACTGCTGCTACTGTAGAAATGCTGAACACACTTCGGGCAAGTTTAACAAGCTGTTTACTGTTGAACTTCACTCCTAGTTTAACCTGGGGTCACGTTCACTCACTTCCTAAACTGCAGAGCTATAGACTATAATGTTTCTCACAAATGCAAAATGAATGTAGGCATAATCCGTCAAATGAAAACAAATCTACTGCATTAAAAATGGAATATGCAAATGAGCCTCTACCCAATCACCTTTCTTAAACTATGTGCTGTGATCACTGACAAAGCAGTGTATGTAATGGTCAAAATACTGCAGGCCAGTCATTAACTGTGTCACCATTTCACCATTATGAAAAGTATATCACAAAGCACACCGCAATCACTTTATGCAGCTATATAATATTATGTCCATATGGTGCAGCCTGGTAAACTAAACACACTCATGTATTCACATGCATATACATTCAGTTGTATGCAAAATGTTGGGAACAGCTGATCAAATTGCATGTTTTGTTGATTTTCCAAATGAAAATAACAGCGAACACACTTCTGCACATTTTCATATTTGTCTGAATACGTATCAACAAACAAGTCTTGGTACAATTTACGTTCTAATAGTTATATTCATAAATTTGCAGGAAAAAAAGTTTCCTGTAAAGTATCTGTTTACTTACTGTGGCTCAGAAAAGCAAAAACATGTCATGTGACCAGGGTGCCCATACTTCCACATACTTTTGTATTTACTTCAGTCATATTTTGGAATTGTATCAGCAAAAAGCTTGTAGTTTCAACAGAATTCCACAAGAATCATTACATTTAATTACACAAGTGTCAATTACACAGCATTTAATGTCAGAATAACAGCTTACACAATTTTAAGTGCAGCCTGCACAGCGTCTGTGTTTTCTAACAGGGAAGACTTATTTCTTTCTGGAAATACAGTGCACGGCTATCTGTTTGTATTGTAAACTGTGCATGCTGCACACGTGGTAATATTTTCCACCCATTTTCAAATTTGATACGCGTCTATGCTGGTTTGCGCTACTACAAGTGCAATCTGCTCACACACGACTTGTTATACAGGTTTGCACTTCGCAGGCATATGAAGAGTGAAGATTATAGGTGAAAGTGCATGTACAAACACGTATGACTATACAGTTAATCACTTTGGCATTTCTGATTCAGGCTGATATTGAATCTGTCAACACTGAGTACTTGAAAGGGCTGCGACTATGTCGGTGGCGAGTATCTTAATTAAAGGATTCTTTTCTTTGAGGAAAACCAAAGGAATGCTAAACTCGCAAGCAGAACTGCCGAGCAGCCAGAAAGCAGAGCATTCTTTCTTTTCTCTCTTTTCCTCCAGTTCCTGAAAGAGCTTGAAATATTTGTGCAATTTGGTTGGGTTCGGACATCATTTCTCAAATATTTGTTGGGCTCAGTTTGGGTTCAGATTTCATGTCTCCTACCTTTGAATGACTGTGGCCTGCATTTGCTCCCCTTTACTTTTTCACATACTTTATTCTTCAGCTCTACTTTTATTGATGCAAACTTTAATCTGGCACTCCAGAGTCATTCGTGCTTTTGGCAGTGAAGTCCACTGAGGCCAAAATGAGGACAACGCATTGCGAAAAGGTTATTCCGACTAAAACTTTTTGGGCTGTTGTTTGATAGCGTTAACTGATAAATAAATTTGTTAATTGTAATTTTGCACAGCTCAGACTAATTTTTATTTTGTGTATCGATGCTCTGATGAGGCTATTGTTGTTGCTATAAGGTAACTCAAATGGTTAGAAATGTTGAGTTGGATTTAGTCACTGGTTAGTAGTGGTCAGTTTTTGTTTTTTTTTTGGCAACAGTTAAACTGGGCCAAAATTGTGCTGGGCTACAGTCGGGTTGGGACAGAATTTTGTCCGGGTGCTCTCAGGTTGGAATACAATATCGTCAGGATACAGACAGACTGTGACAGAATTTTGTCAAGAAACAGTCGGGCTCAAACAGAATTTTTTTTGGCTACACTCAGGTTAAGACAGAAGTTTGTTGGCTGCAGTCGGACTTAAACAGAATTTTGCTGTGCTAGAGTCGGGGTCAGACAGAATTTTGTGGGGTTACAGTCAGACCGAATTTTGTTGGCTACAGTCAGACCGAATTTTGTTGGCTACAGTCAGACAGAATTTTGTTAGCTACAGTCAGGCTCAGACAGAATTTTGTTGGGCTACATTCAGACAGACTTTTGTTTGCTACGTTCAGAAAGAATTTTGTTGGGCTACAGTCAGGCTCAGACAGAATTTTGTGGGGTTGCAGTCAGACCAAATTTTGTTGGCTAAAGTCAGACAGAATTTAGTCGGGCTATAGTCGGGTTCAGACAGAATTTGTTGGGCTGCAGTCAAACAGAATTTTGTTGGGCTACAGTGGGGCTTAAACAGAATTTTGATGGGCTAAAGTCGGGCTTTGGCAGAATTTTACTGCCTACAGTCAGGCTCAGGCAGAATTTTGTTGGGCTACAGTCAGACAGAATTTTGTTGGGATACTGTCAGACAGAAGTTTGTTGGGATACAGTCGGGTTCAGAGAAAATTTTGTTGGCTACGTTCAGACGGAATTTTGTCGACCTACGGTCAAGTTCAGACAGAATTTTGTGGGGTTACAGTCACCTTGAGACAGAATTTTGTTGGGCAATAGTTGGGTTCAGACAGAATTTTGTAAGGCTACGGTCGGTTTGCCCAGTGTCCAGTAGGCCTTGGTTTGAAACACAACCAACTGAAGGCCAAGCACTGGCAGAAAAAACTGCTATTCAGTAGCAAGGCCAAGCTAGGGCAGTGATAAGCACAGTGCCAATCTTATCACACTGGACTAGAGGCCTTCTTTGGGGCAATGGATATTGTTTGTTCTTGTATTGAATAATAACTGTGTAACAGAGGCTACGTGGATCGGCACCATGGGCCAGAGAAAGTGCTGCTTGACTTGAGACCAGACAAGCTAGGGTGGATCATTGACGACCCTGTTGACTCAGTGAGGGACTTAGACCCTGAGCATAGCTCAAATTTGGGACATGTCTCAGAGAATTATGGCTCTAATGCCTTTTAAGCGGCGTTAGACAGTCTTAAGTTCAGATATTTTGGGGAAATTAAGCATGTAAGACTGCCTGACAGCATAGGTTTTTAATCAGTATGTCTACATCAAACCATTTGTTTGTTAATCTGGTTATTAACTTCACTGAAAAATCTCATTAGCAGAAACTAAAAAGCCCTCATCTCATCCTCTGATAACCTTATTCAGTCAAACCTCAATTAGATGTTGACAGACAGCAATGTTATCTCAGCAGACTTCATTTTGAAAGAGATTGAGAAATTGGCTTTGCAAGTTATGTCCCACTACAGTCATGTAAGGCACAATATAAACTGAAAGCAAATAAAAGTGGCGGCAATGGGGCAAAGTCTGACATCTCTTCAAAGGCGTTATCTAATCTCCAAACAACAGAGATAACACAAAAACGAGACCAAATTGCAAAGTGCAAACGGCATATAGCTTCCATTAAAGATGATATTCCTTTCAACAGACTCATCATCCCTTTAGTCTTACCAGCAAAACCCAAATTTGTCAAAGCCATCAGTCAAAATGTTGGCAAAATGTTAGATAACACTTAAACACATACAGCTTGAAATTCACTTTGTGACTTTCTCTGACATTTCATTCAAGCACCCTGCTGACCCCTGTTTGAAGTTCATTCATGAATGGTCAACAGAGATAGTGATCTGCCTCACTGCTTTCGCAACGGTCAGTCACTTATCAGCTCAGGAGCCCCTAACTAAGCACTTAGACCTTGACAGTTAACCTGGGTGTTTGGGTCTACACAGCCATTTATAACACCATAACCCAAAACAGGTTATGGTAACTGCATGACATGGACAAATGCAATTATATTGCTACATATTGCAATTGTGATATACCTTGTTCATAAACCATCATTGCGCTTCTCAAGCTCAAAAAGAAGTAAGCAAAACCTTTTTTTGCACACTACAAACCCAAATTAGTGGTTTATGAGGTATGTGCTAGCATGCCTGCTCAGTCCCATTATCTTTTAGCAGTTGGTATAATGTAGTGGGTAATACCGCAGACTGGGGTTAGATTCCTCGCCTGGTCAAGCACACCATGTATGAAGTTCATTTAGTACCATAACATAACAAAATAATAAAATTCACAAGTAAAAATGTCAAACTGAAATCAGGTTCAGACAGAATTCTGTTTGGCTGCAATCAAGTTGGGCCAGAACATTGTTAGGCTACAGTGGGGCTTTTTTTAGCCTGCAATCAAGTTTGTATAGATCTTGGCAGCTGCAGTTGCATTTGGGTTGGGACAGTTATCTTCAGTTAGATTGGTTCATAGTGATTAACAAGTGATATATTGTGCAGCTGTTTCAGTAACCAAATCTTTTCCACACTTAATAGACTAAAATTCTTACCTTTTGTATATATATATATATATATATATATGTATATATATATATATATATATATATATATATATATATATATAAATGTAAAATGCTTAATTACATAACTGAATTATTACTTATGTATATAATATAACAAATTACATTTACATTTGATTTATATTATGTATTGACAGGCTGGATTATGCTCTTTCTGCAGAAAAAGACATAACAATATCTTTTTTACAAATACAAATGTGGTGTGTATTGAAAGTTTAGAATCTGCACAGAATTTCTATGCTGGGTTCAGCGAGCTACATGTCAGAAATAACAAAACAAAACTGAACACCATGGGGGGCTTTAGAGGTTTCTAAGAGACTGCAACTGTAACTGTAGTTCTATGCATGACTGACATAACCGGTAGAACAGGATGTATCATCTGTCCCCCAAAACTTACCTCCAGACACAGCCTGGCCAGGTGCAAGCGAAGGGCTTTTCGCCTGTATGCCTCCTCAAATGGGCCTTCAGGTGGCTGCTCTTGGTGTACATCTTGGCACAGCCTGGAAAAGTGCACTTGTGCATTTTGATGAGATCAGCCACTGAGTTCTTCTGGAATTTCTGACCCCCAACTAGGAGCTCTGCCCCATGGACTCCAGCAGCTCCGTTCTCCCCAAGTTCTGCAGGTTTGGCTGCAATGGGTACTGGAGCTATACGGACGAACTTCGAAGATGTACTGCTAGGGCTAGCTGGTGGCATGACATGAGGAACCAAAGCGAACGTCTGGCCCTGGATGTTGACAAGCAGCTGGGCGATTTTGATGTCTGAGGCAGGTGGCTGCGTTGTAGGCGCTGTGTTTTGAGCTGGCTCCTGCTTGATCTGAATGGGCTGGATTTGCAGGATGACCGGCACCCCTGAATTCTCCACCACTGAAGCCTTCTCAGAGGATTCCTCCTTTTTCACCCCATTTTGAGCATCTGTGGTGGGTCCCAGTGAGGAATGGGCACTTTTAGTTTCAGGGTCAGCTGTTACGCGGAAAACAGGCACTGTTTGGTCTAAGCTTTGCGCCTGCGATTCTGACGAGGATACCTGTTCAGTAGTGCTAGTCAATGTCCCATCACTTGCTTTTTCCTTCAAGGCTATGACTTCCATGTTCTCCTCAAGAAACTCCTCGATCTCCTCCAATGTGGGTTGAAACAGCAGTCCAGCATGGTCCTCCAGATCTCCAGGAAATATTGGGAACTCGAAGCATTCCTCTTTGGTAGCCCGGTCCCTACGAGACTCCCACGCCAGACCCATGGGCAGAACTGGAGGGACCATGGCAGGAGTTATGGTCGTAGAAGGAGATGTTTGGCTTAGGGTAGACTGAGAGATCAGGAAATCTAGGAGACCATCTTGGCTTTCACCACTGGAGCTGGCACTGCTACAGCTGGAGCCCAACACCTGGGACTCAGGACTAGAGCAACAACACGAACTGGACGAGTCACTGAGCTCGTCCTCTGAGAAAGGAGAAGGCAGCACCTGGTAAACCCCCTCGTCTGTCACCATATCCGACCGGTGGTGGTGGGCAGTCAAGGAGCGACTGTAAGGAAGGAAGGTTTCTTCATTCACTAGCAAGTGATCCACCATTCCTGGTCACCACCTGTCCAGAAAACCCCGTCCCGTGCTTGGCTGTCCGTCACAAATGAATCCGTTCCTTGAGTGTGTCTGGAGACAAAAAACGAATGAATTCAGAACGATTTACTTTTTCGGTTTAGTTTTGCTTATTGTTGAACTGTTGAATTGAGCCTGTTCTTCCAGAAGTGTCCCAATAAATTATACATTAGTAATAATTTATGAAAAAGTATTGATATTAATTTTAATATAATATATATTAATATAGTAATAATATATAGTAATATAGTAATAGTAATATATATATATATATATATATATATATATACATACATTCATGTGGAAATGATGTACACGTTTGAATGAAGCATTACTTTTTCAATCTTTTTATCTATCTTCTATCTAACTATCCATCTATCTAGATGTTGCAAGACACAACCTCACTTGCACATGGTGAGCAGTTCACTGTAAAAGCTGCCCATATGGCAACCAAAACAAGTGATAAAATCTGTTATGGCACTGTTGCAAGCCAATGTGTGTGGTGCAGTTAACTATGATAACTAAAGATAGCACTGTATATACACAAATAGTCTTTGAGTGCTACGCATGATAGAAAACAGATGAACAATAGGAAACTAGGACAACTGCCAGAACAGGTCATAAAATGACACTATTTTGTGGGACTATGCATGAATCAAAGGAACCAGCATCATTACCTGACTGATTTTACATTTAAATCCAGAGTCTGGCTGGTTATCGTTATGTAATCTTTCATATAAAGCACATTTACTGTAGCTTATCAACTACAGCATCTGCAACATGAAAAATCAGTGAAAGGAGCATTGTTCTAGTTCTGGAAATGTTAACAGTAAGGCCTTCAGTAACCACTGGACAAAAGTGCTGCCAGAAGTAAACATCTTTACCACATGAAAGTGTCCTGGCCTACATGAACTTGATTAAAATCTCTGACGAATCATTTATTTGACTGCTGTTAAGCATGTAAGTCTAATTGTAAGCTGAGCCCAAGTCTGCATGAAACAGGCACAAATGTGGCTATAGTGCTTCTATCTTTCTCCTACAGGTCTTTAGCATTAATTACACTCGTAGCAAAAAGGGTTCTATATAGTATCAACAAAATTTGTAACAACAGTGGAGCTCCCATCGGTGCTGTATAGCACAATTGATAAAAAGGTAAATACACATCAGGTTTTCCATCATGGAGAAGAACCACCGAACCTTGCATAGAATTATTTAAAATGTGTTAAAGTAGGCAAAGCACTAAAATGCCCAAGACAGTGGGCCTCCAGGAACAGGTCTAGACCACGGGCTGCACATTTTAGTGCTTTCCTGCCTTATTTAACTCAACATCTCCTTCACAAGCCCTTCATGAGGTTAAAATAGGGGTAGCAGGACAGAAAAAAACACCAAAGAGTGCAGTACAAGGGCTCAGAGAGCAGGATTCAGAACTAGAGGTGCAGAACGCTTATTAGAAAGTTGAGACGAGCGCCCCCTACTGTTTCCCTCCGCGTTGCACGACCGAGAATAAACTTGCAAAGCACTGTCAACATGTGTGCGGACAGCGATGAGTACTATCATATGGTTGTGTGTTCTTGGGCCAAATCCGTCCCATGACTTAATGCTCCTCGATCACAGAACACTCCCCCGAAGCTCTCTGTGTTCTTCTTGCACATGGCCTAGCAAAATCTCCATTACTGCATTGTTAATGCAGTACAACAGGTGCCAACGCAGGGCTGTATTTGTTCAATGAAGCAAATGTAACACTATGGATGCAAATGCCACACCTGGCCTTTTGCACTGCTGCCTGTTGTAATAGAAAAAATTGCCAGCTTCTTGTTTGAATGTTCCCGTTCCACCTTAAATGATACAGCTGTTATATTGTCGTGCTGCACCATTTAAGGTGGAAAAAGTCAGCTTTTTATTCGCCAGCTTCTTGTTCGAATTTTCCCGTTCCACCTTAAATGGTGCAGCAGTTACATTCTGGCGCCTCAGAATGTAACTGCAGCACCATTTAAGGTGGAACGGGAAAATTCGAAGAAGGTGGCGAATAGGAAACCAACCTCAGCCTCTTACAAACTGCACACATGAATAAAACAAGTCCCACGTGATCAGACTCACCTCAAATCCTGTGTATCAGTTGTTGCTGCTGTCCGGTCCCTTTTCTCTCGGCCAAACTATTGCAGTGAGTAAAGTGACGTGGCTTTGCCCTTGAGACGAGCTTCTCATTGCAAAGCCGTGAGCGCGAGACTACTCATAGCTCCAGCGCGTGCGGCAGCATTACTACAGGGCTGTCACATGACTGGCCTTATAAGAGGCAGAGCTGGGGAAGGCTCGCCTGCTTCTCTAGCCGGGATTGGTGTGTTCCTGCTGGGGGGGCTGGACTCTGAACAGTCCCCCATGAGCGCGGAGCCACATGCTAACACTTTCTTCGCAGCAGTGGAAAGCATTTGGGCTTTTGCCTGGCACGAGCTTTGCCAAACATGTCAGTGCAGAACAAATGCAAACTGGAGTGACTCAGATCTTTTCGGCTCAGTTCAGTTTTATTTATATAAAGTGCAGTGGTTGCCAGATCAGGCCCTGAAGCAGTGACATGCAGTCGTATGCAAAAGTTCGTGCACCCACGTTTTTGTAGATTTTCTAAGAGAAAATAAGACAAATTTACAGAGCCCTGCTGGTGACGTCCTGTATAAATAAAAGTAATGCGTGGCCACGACTTAGTAAGGCATGGGAACGAGATAACTAAGTCGTGGTCACAACTTAGTAAGGTGTAGGAACGAGATCATGCCTTATTAAGCTGTGATCAAGGCTCAATTATTTCATCTCATAGCCTTACTGAAGTCACACATTATTTTTATTTATACAGGATGTCACCAGCAGGGCTCTGTACAAATGCTTTGTAAAGAGCACATTTTAATGCACAATTACGGTTTATGTGCTGAATATAACATATAGAAAATAATAATAACGAAAATATAAAATGTATTTCCTGTGCAAAAGTTATGGCTGATGGTGTGGAGTTGATGGAAGCCAACTGGTGAGGTACAGTACTGTGAAAAAGTCAAATACTACCCTTCATTTTTTACTTTCCAGTCAAACTGGCCATTAAGTACAAGTTATTCACTTTTTTGTAGATATCTGTAAGGGGATTAGATATAAGATCAATGTGTAAAGTAGGGGGTCCAGGACCTCCTACTTAACCTATTGGACGCCCAGCATGTCTCAAAATCTAAATTCTGGGGGTTCCTGAAAATGCACGTTGTTATTCTATTCATTGGGGGTAACATAAATACTCAAATTCACTTTGGGGAAAGGTCTTTGTCTAACTGCTTTACCCACAGTATGAGGAACAAATTCCCAAAAAAGGCCTCAGTTGTTGAGATACCCCCACCTGAGGCAGAATAAAATGCAAATACCTAGCAACCACTTAGCAACACCATAACAACCATCTAGCCACCACCTAGCAACCGCATAGCAACCCCACAGCAACCACTTCTGATACCATAGCAACACCATATCAATGACCTAGCAACCCTTTAGCAACACCACAGCAGCCACCTAGCAACCACATAACAACATCATAGCAACCACCTGGGATACCATAGCAACACCACAGCAACCACCTAGCATCCACTTAGCAGCATGATAGTAACCACCTACAAATCACATAGCAACACCATGGCAACCACCTAGGATAGCATAGCAACACCATAGCAACCACCTAGCAACTGGCTAGTAACACCATAGCAACCAGATAGCAACATCATAGCAACCACCTGGAATGCCATAGAAACCACTTAGCAACACCATAGCAACTACTTAACAACATTTACCAACACCATAGCAACCACCTGGGATACCCTAGCAACCACCAAGCAACAGCATAGCAACCACTTTTCAAACACCTAGCAACCACAGCAACACCATTTGCAGCCACCTAGTAACCATATAGCAACACCATAGCAACCACTTGGGATACCATAAGAACACCATAGCTACCACCTAGCAACCTCTTAGCAACAACACCGCAGCCACATAGCAACACCTGTGATACCACAGCAACCACCTAGCATCCAGTTAGCAACATAATGCACCAAATGTGCAAATTTAGGCCTGGTTTACAGGGAGAGTGTCTGCATTATCCCTTATATTTCTGAGAGTAAAATTCAGAATTTTAGTAGGAACTTTTGGAAAAATAAAAGAATGAAAGACAACACAAAGTGAAACACTGAAAGCAGTTCCCCAAAAGAATGGAAGCTGTAATAATGGCAAAGAGTGGAAAAACTAAATATATATTTTTGTGACACTAAAGAATGAAACGCACTTGTGCTCTTGTACTGTAGTGAACAGTGAATGAGTTAATGAACACAGCTATCCTATGATAAAGTCATGGAGCCAAATACCAAAGAAAAAGTTTAAGAGAACTAATGCACGGCCTAATGGATGACCTCATCTCTTTTAAACTATCACTTGGCTTACGCTAAGGACTGAAGCCAGATGTCTCTGAACCCTCCATAAAAATGCTTGTGAAAGAACTACTAGCAATAACAGACGCTGTAGGATTTAGGGATTGAGCTGTTTCTGACATGTAATCATATTAATTAGACTGCTGTTCTACTCCAAAGTATGAGTATCATTATTAAGTGGGATTTAAGTTGTTAAAATTAAGTGTTTTATAAATATTGACAGCTGGATATTTAATATGTGCATGCAGATTCATGAGCAGGATGTGTAGAAGCCCATTCCTGCTCAGTAGAGGAAAAAATCTTCCATGTTATTTATTTTTCTCTTTTTCTGCTTATGGGAGCATGTCACACGTTTGACTTAATATCTTGACGTAATCACTAATTTTCTCAAAATGTTGCTTTACTATCTTTAAATAATAATATAGTATCTCAAATTAATTACTTGTTTTCTTGAAATCTTGAGTATCTCGAAATAATGATTTAATTTCTTGAAATAGTGAAATAGTATCTTCAATTAATGACTTATTTTCTCAAAACATTGCTGTAGTATTTATAATGAAGGATTTACTTGCTAAGAATATTGACTTAGTGTCTTGAATTAACGACACACACACAGATTTTCTAAGCTGCTTATCCTCCTGGGTCGTGGGGGGTGCTGGAGCCTATCCCAGCAGTCTTTGGGTGGAAGGAAACACCCTGGAAACCCCTGGAAACATCCTGGAAAGGCTGCCAGTCCATCACAGGGCAGATACACAGACTTATACATTCACACCTAGGGCCAATTTAGCATCTCCAATTCACCTGACTGCTTGTCTTTGGACTGGGGGAGGAAACCCACATAGACACTGGGAAAACATGCAAACTCCACACCCTGGACCCTGGACCCTGGTCGCCCGGCCGGGGAGTCGAACCCAGGCCCTTCTTGCTGTGAAAGAATGCCTCAAAATAATAACTTAGTTTCTCAAAATGCTGATTTCATGACTAAAACTCATGGTTTATTTTCTTGAATTACTGACTTTGTATTGAATTAGAATCTCAAAATAATGACTTACAAAATATTGACTCTTTTTAAGTATCTTTAACTTATTACTTATTTTCTCAGGATTTTGAATTATCAAGAAAAAAATTGACATATGCCAATCTTGAAAAAGATGGTTCTTCAAGCGTTCTTTAGTATATAGAACCACAGACACTTAAAGAACTATACACATGATTAAAGGGTTCTTTGCACCATGAAAGTGTTTTTCAGGTTGATGGAAAATGTGCTGTAGATGGTTCTATATAGAACCTTTTTGAAAAGGGTTCCATATAGCACCAAAAAGGGTTCCACTATTGTTACAAGCCAAATAACACTTTATGGTATTATATAAAACCATTTTATGGCATTATTAAATTTCAAGAAAGTAAGTAATTATTATTTTTGCATAATAAGTCAAAAAATTTAGAGACTAAGTTATATTTTCAAGATACTAAGTCTAAATGTTGACATACTGCTGTCAGAAACAGAAAAGGGGAAGAATAAGCTGCAATAATAGGCATCCACTGTAATGTTAATGAGGACATTATGCAATTCATTTTCCTCAAGTTAACAGCTCTCTCCATTTCAGGCTGATTCAGGCTGATCAAATCTCCACTCAGCAAGAGTGATTTACTACATGAGTATGAAATACAGCATTTGCCCATCTGTTTAGATCTGTGATAAACAGCAGAGCTAAAGGTTGGGTAACTGTGAATTAAGGGAGCTCTGAATGGAACAGTTTTCAGTTAAATCATAAAACAAAGAATGTAAGTTGTCTGTTTTGATTAATGTGAGCTCTCAACAAGCAATTTGAAAGTCAGCTTCAGTTTTGAATGCAGTGCAAATTTATGTGAAGCAATTGGGAGCCGTGGTGTTAGTGCTCAGCTCCTGAGATCAACTGTTCTCCCAACTTTCCACTGCTGCTCTCCCAAACCAGATCCATTTAATCAAGGCCCTTTTAGGGAGCCAAGTGAGTTTGGTCAGCGCTGGAAGCAGTCTCCGTTTCCAGGCAAATGTACCATGTGGACAAACATGCTGGAATGAAAGGAGAAACGAGTCGGTCATTTTCTTCTACCGAATCAAAAAACCACAGAGATGTTATGAGGCTTCTTTCTCTGTGTGTGGCACATGCAAATAACCAGCACTTCAACTCACAGTGGAACTGTACTAAACGCAGAAGTTCACAGTGTAAAGGAATAGTTTAATGACAAATCAGATTTACACAGTTTCTTTCTTACCAGACTATGTAGAGACTACTGCACAAATGGCAGAAACTGGACTACAGCACAACACCCTTAAACCCAACATACACAATATGCACTCTTTTGATAAATATTTCTAATATTGTATTTTATTACATCACTATCTTTTTTATATTTTATACTTTTCTTTCCTTTTTAACTCCTTACCAAGCTCCATTAGTTTGCAATGAAGTCCCTGTAGTTACTGAATAATAAGCCTTAGTATGTAATAGGCCTGGAATGTTAAGGGATTAATATTCATATCTCGTATTTTTCTATTATATACGTTTTTAATGGCAACTGACAGTCGTATAAGCATTTCACTGCACGTTATACTGTGTATGGCTGTGTGACCATTAAAGCTTGATTTAATTTGATTTGATTTAAAGTTAGCTGATCAGCTAAGACATGTTTGGTATCTGAAGTTTGCTTCTTTAGTTTAGCACTGGAGGCTAATGTAGCGAACAAGTAATGTAAGCCTTATGGGTCTAAGCCAACAATTAGTACTGTGCAAACCGCACGCCTAAATCACTGGCACTTGTCTCAAACCAGAGGTGTCGTTACAGGGGGGCCTTGTAGATTTC